AGCCGTCACCCTGCTTGAGCCGTGCGGATAAAGCTGTTCAAAGAGAGGTGTGAGCGTCCTTCTGACGGAGAAGTTAAATCGCTGCCAACCTCTGCGCCAGCTCTCCACACCTTCACAATATCAACACGGCCTTGCAAATTATGACTAGTACTATGCACAAATGTGATAACAACGGAAGGATAGAATGAAGGACGAAAAATCACTCTTGGACGTACTTGTAGCCGAGAGACTGATCAGTACTAGTCGCGCTCGAGAATGCCGGATGCACATCCTCTATGCCGAGATCGACCCACGCCTTCAGGTCGTCGTCGGCATAAAGCAGTAAATCCTCGCCAAACCTCCGACACCCGAGAAATAGATTGCTCTTCGCGACATCCCTTCCGATCCGCTTCTGAATCGCCAGAAATTCGCGCACTCGCGTGAGCCTCTGCCCGGCGCAGAACGTCAGCATCGACACAACCACATACGCAGGCGGATGAAATACCGCGTTCGATGGGCGCACTGCGAGCTGCACTTTGTCATTCGGCCGGAAGCAAGCCATGTCAACGCCACACCAGGGAACGGCTCGTTTCGGCCAGAACTTGCAGGTGCCTCGAGCACGCCGATAGTCAGCCTGGCGCGGGTGGAATCAGCAGGAGACAATGGGGAGATCGAATATCGGGAGACGCGCATGCTTGGGACGAGCTGCAGGAGGTGGTGAAAGAGATATCGGCATTTGGACGATATTATAAGCTGTCGAGGATGCTGAGATGTCTTGCGGTACTTCTACTTCACGTCAGTACCTCAGCGTATCCCTGGTGGCTTCGGTCTTGGACAGCTCGTTAAGGATGCACAGGTCACAAGTGGCCGCCGGCTGTGACAGTTCGACATATCCGCTGAGAAGCGTTGCAAAATTCGCGAGGCAGTTGGTAGGCAGGGTGGTTGGAGCAGTGGAACGGAGAGGGAACTGTCTTGCGGTCAGCCTTCATCCAGAGGTTGCGCCACCATATGCGCACTTCTTGGTCGGCTCGCAGACCGAAGCGAGCGAGCGCGCGGGGAGTGTCTCTCGTAATCTTGACAGGAATGCTAGCGAGAAGAAATGAATGAGTTGATGCCGCAAATTGGAAGATGATTTGGATCTCACGTAGCGAAATTGTCGCCTGTTTAGGGTGCCGTGTCCTCTGAAAATGAAAATTGAAATATTTATCGTTATCGTTAAGGTGAAAGTTCGTGGTGCAAGGAACTCGCGATGTTCCGATAAGCCGCATCGCTGGTGCACTAGGTGCCGCAAGGACTCTATTCTTGAGTGCCGTCTGGCAGTCCCAAGGGCGGTATCCGGTTGGCGGAGGATGAGTACATCGTTAGCACCCGGATCAACAGCCTTGATTTGTATCTCATATTTTGCTCCGCCGAACTAGTCGTCCCATACAGCTACAGACAGAATGTTCAATGACGAATCATCATAATACAGAGTAAGAAGACACGGACCATGTGAAGCCCCTCCCATAGCGCCGTCTCCCACATCTCGAACGCTTTGAAGAAGCCCTGAGAGCCAGAATTTCCCTTGCCGCGAAGAACGATGCGGTTAGTGTCACGCTCAGCAAGCAGGTTATTGCATAACGTCGAGATGCGCTGCTATGTCAGAGCTCAGTCATGGCTGCTGTAGCCGAAGACGACGCATGATACCTCCTTAGAGTCCCTTGCTTACGAGGCTTGAAAGCTGTTCGAACAAGTGTGCGGTATTATTGGCGGGATGTCCTTCGAACGAGGCGATGATGGTAACTGTAGGCTCATCTGAGTTTGTATGCAGATTCCCCGCTACCGAGCCGAGCGTACAGATCGTATCGCTGAGATCTAGGAGAGTACTAAATGAGCCGCGATCAGACGATTTGAGGTACTGAAATACCTTGGCAAGCGGTGGTAGAAGCGATCCTTTACGCTAACCCTTTCGGCGTACAAGCTTCCGAGCTGTAGAGCACGTACAACGGCTGCAACTCGGCGGCATTCACAGATGCGAGCTACCCGCCAGCCTCGCCAGCCTCTTGCCCCGCCAGAGCATGTTACATGCGCCCTTCTTGTCGGTGAGAGTAAAGGCAAGGACGTAGGACTCTTGTGGCTT